AGTGTCCAGTTTAAGGGTATTACACAGAAACATACCAAGGGAACATGAATCAAATATGTATCTTTATTCATTTACAATAAACTCATAAATTACATCATTCTGATTGAAGCTAAGGGCATACAAAACTGTCTAACAATATTTCTCATTTTTTTGCTAAAATCGTAACATTAACAAAAGTTTAGTTTCTAAAGGAAATTACCAGAAACTTGGTTGAATCCCTTCATCACATGTTCAACAACACATATCATCTTCGTCGCATTGCACAATTCCTGATTCTCTCTCGTCTGAAAATTCTCTTCGTTTACCTTGCACCGATAAAAAGGAAGTAGCGAAAATAAACGATCAGGAACTAATACATTTGAAAGATTCAAACACCAACAAAGCAAGTCAGAGGCTAATGCAGCTTCTTAATCAACGAAAATATCGAAACTGTAAACCCTATCCATCAATTAAAGAAACCCTAAAAAGAGAATGCATTCGATCTAGCATCATGTAAGAGAGAGAGACGATGTTTGTCAGAGAATTGGCTTCCGATTTCTAAGCACTCTCGTTCCCCAACTTCCAACCCCGCGCTTTTTCTAAGCTCGACGTGTCTTTTGAAACACTCGAGGCACGGGCTCTTTTCTAAATGAAAATAGAAAGATCCGGATCCATTTACGTATGTAAAGGTTTTAGGTCCGACATTAGATTAGAACATAATTGGTGGCCCAACGTTCATATGAACGTAATTTACCGAACCCTCTCTTTTCGTCCCTATAGGGTATATTAAGTCTCAATCTTGCTGATTTTCCTTAGAATTTAGCTTGTATTTTTATAATGTGATTTATGAGGATGTACTGCCCCGTCTTGTGTAACCCCTTTTGGTTTCTATAAAAAAATTTACCGAACCCTCCCCATTCATATTGATCAGTTCCTGTTTCACCAATACCAATGTATGCATACAAATACAACGCTTCATTTCATTTATGAAGGAGAGATGGGAATATCATCAGTTACCACAAGATTGTTCATCTTCCAAGTTCCTCTTTGAAGGTACTACTACGTACATTACACAGCTACAGCCTGCAATAAGGGTTCATGGCATACCTTCTGGCTTCAATGAAATTATTGAGAAGATGGCCCATCATGAAGGAGAAGAAGAAGCAAGAAGGTCCTCCGAGGCCACAATATTCCATTCCCATATCGTCCAAAGACCTGTAAGGAATTAATCTACAATCAGTTTCACAGATGGATTGGAGCTTGTGAGCCTAATCTGTCAAATGGTATTGTTTGTTATGGGCCCGCGCGTAGGATCTCGTTACGGGTCGGTCCACAGGGAGAAATCCCTGCTTTCCCTTGCGCCTTCCCTTGCGTGTAAACCCGATTGCGGAAACTGAATGGATGATTTATCTAAGAGACCACCCAAACTCTCATTTTGGGTGATTTGTCCAAGAGACCACCCGAACTCTCCTCACTCTTTTATTGACTCAAAAACTAAATGCCTTTATTTCAATTCGTAGCTCCTTAAATAGGAGATTACAGAGGGAAATTCCTTGTTGGATTTGGCTAAGCTAGGGTAATCCAACTCAAACTAAAACTCCTAATTACCTACTCCTAATGGTAACACAACTCTTACTTAAGAAGATAAAATAAGATAAGGATAAGGGATAAGG